GGATGGGAAATAGGTGGGTGGGCACGTAGATCTGTTCTCTGTGGATCAGACTATTGAGGCCAAGTGTGTGGGGGTGGAGGGGAGGAGGCCAGGAAGCCAGAAGGGGTTGTGAAGGGGCCATAGGGGTCTTCTCCTGCCTCTCTGCTCTGATGGGGGATCTGAAATGGGCCTGGCCTGGGGGAGGATGGTCTGTCCAGGGGGATCAGTGAGAGAGTGGATTGTGCAGAGCGTGGGGCAGGGGCAGGGGTGTGTGTGCGGATAGAATGTGGGTTGAGGGAAGACCAGGTCCATGTGAGGAGTGGGACTGGAAGGAGAGGATTGCTGCGGAGAGAGTGGGTGTAAGAGGGAGGAGGCTCTCCCTCCTTCTCTCTATCCTGCGCCCCACTCCTGCAGCTCTGCTGTCACAGTGCCACACTTCACCCCGGGGGGCTACAGCAAGTGCGGGGGCAGAAGGAGGGAAGCCACAGCTGCATTTCTTGACCCCTGGAGCATTTAGAATGTCCTCATGCTGTGAGCTCCTTGCCCTGGGGCAGGCAGGGATGGGTTGGGAACACTGAGATCAGGGAGTCAAGTGTGGGAGGATGTGCACAGACCGAGGGTAGGCAGCCACCTTCTCAGGTCCTCTTCCCCTTTCCCCCCAGATGGCCATCAATGGCCAGTGTGCCCAGGTGGGTGGCACTCCTGGTATGGGGTGGCGGAGCGCAGGGAGAACACCTGGCTTGGCGGGTGTGGTTTGCAAGTGCAGATCCAGGCAGCTGAGAGATCTGGGAGAGGCAACGGGTGCTGCACTGCCGACTTCTCATCTCCAGTTTTCAGGTGGGGCAGTTATGGCGCGGGGTGGGGGGGCTCCCCCAGGAGGATGAGAGATGGCAGGTGTGCGTAGCGTGGCTGCTGAGGGAGGAGAAAGGGGGGGCCATTGCTGTGAGAGGCTCGTGGGGGGTGTGTGTCATGGTCCATCCTACAGCTCTGGTCACTCAGCAGCCCCCATCCTTTGACCTTGGACTGTGGGCTGAAGTGCAGTGTGCAGTGTCTGGGCTTGGCCAGGGTCCAGGCAGGAGAGCTGCCCTCTGCACTCTGTCTGGGGAACATGGGTATGAGGAGTAACCAGTCCAGTCCCCGCGTCGGGTGTCACGGGTATTCGTGAAGTCAAGACCGAGGGGGAGACTCAGCGGCAGGGAAAGAGCAGAGGGGGATCCATCCCTCCACTTCCGCTGACTGTAGTAAACATGGACTAGGGCTGGGCTCTGACGCTGGTGAGGCCACAGCCCTGGGGCCTGGGCTCAGCCAAGGCAAAGGGAGGGCTGGGGCTTTCATTTTCTCTGAAGGTCTCAGTTCCAGTGGCCTGCCCCCCCTTCTCCATGAATTCACCCTTACCGTAGCAGCCTTTTGCCAACCTCCATCAGAATCACCATGGAGCTTTAAAATAGATTTTTGGGCCTCACCTCTGACCTACAGAATCTGGGGAGTAGGACTCAGGGCTCTGTAGGTTTAAAAAGCACCCCCAGAGACTCCTGTGCCAGTCTTGAGAGCCACAATAAGTAATCTGGTAGCGAGTAGGAAGGCGTGAGTCCTCCCAGAAGCCGACTTCCCCTTGCCAACACCCAGCACACTTGCTGTCCTCTGAGCTGGAATGGGAGAGTGTCACTGCTGTCCTCCTCCCATGGAATCTGCAAGTCTACAGGGCCAAGCCCCCAGAGGCTGTCTAGTGAACTCTGGCTGAATGAATGAGCACAGGAGGCATGGGCAAGTGGATGAATATTCACTGGGCTCAGGCATGCAGTGGGGATGGGAGACGGTGAAGGGGGACCTCCCACTTTCTGAGGAGGGAGGAATTTGAGTCCAGGCCTGTCCTTCCAAACATGGAGCCAGATGGGGAGGGGTGGAGGGACTCAGAAATGGAAAACCCAGCATTTCCAGGTCCCTGGGTGGGCTTGTCAGTGCTCCTTAGGGCAAAGCTGTCCCCACTCTGAGGTTAAGGCTCTTCCTGTTAAAGGGCAGAGGGTCCCAGCTTTCCCTGCATGGGAGGGTGAGGTGATGGAAAGAGTCTGGGGTGCTGGGCCAAGTTAGTTGATGAGCTTTGTGCAGTGGGCTTGCCGGTGCCTCGCTCCAGGCCTCGGTTTCCTAATCTGACATCGTCACTGATGCCTAATTTCAGTTCTCATTCTTCCTCCCTCCCATGTGACAGAAGGGGAGGGCTTGGCAGTGGATGGAGAGAGGGTTCCAGCTGTGATCATCTAACATGGACACTGTGAACAGGGGTCTGTCCTACAGATGGGGCTTTTCTAAAGGCCAGAGGAAAAGGTAGTTGTGCCACAGATGCTCAAAAGTGTCAGAGATGGGACAGGGAAATAGGCAGACTTTCTGCTGGGTGGGTGAGTTCTGAGCCAGACAGTAGAGAGACGTGATCAGAGCTCTGTGTCTGTCTGTAGGTACCTAGCACTCAGTACCAGCACCTACACCACGGTGGCAACTCACCCAGGGCCCCACAGCACCTCCCACCTCTGCCCAGTCTTCTTTAGCCTTCTCTTGGTAACTGAACATGGCAAAGGGCCCCAAGCACAAGGCCAGCCACAGAACCAGGGCTTAATATTTGCTGAATGAGTGAATGACTGAATGAATGGATGAGAATGGTGTAGACAAAGAAAACAATTGCTGGGGACTTCCAGCCTGGATGTGAAGGAGAAAAAGCTCTAAGGCCGTCCGGTGCCTGGCTCAGACAGGGTGGGCAGGCGACCTGCCTGGGGTCGGATGCGACCCCATCTTGCATGCCCACCAACCCTCATTACATCCTAACCGATAGCCTGATCATGAGTAAGATTATGGCAGTTGAGGAGGGGAAAAGTCACAGCCTTGGGGATCCCACCAGCTTTTGGGCTATTTGCAGAGACCTCAGCTGGGAGAGGCCTTCCTTTCTCACCACCCTTTTGCCCCTACGTGTGGCATCCGGGCATAGAGAGGGAGGCAGTGATCTCCAAACCAGAGAAGCAGGGCAGGGGGCATGAGGTGGGGGTGGGAGGGAGCTGATATTTATTGAGCCACTGCTATATGCCAGACCCACTGTTTATCTGACCTCATTTATGATCACAACCTCTGTGGAGTATCCATTATCCCAATTTTGTTTCCTAAAAGAGAGATTGCACTCTGTGAAAACAAGGACCATACCTATCTTGTTCAATACTTGATGTGCAGATTCACAGCCTCTAACATGGTGGCGGGGGCAATAGACGTTCTAGGACTTTGTCTTTTTTTTTTTTTTTTTGACATTTTTAAATGTTTTATTTATTTCTGAGAGAGAGAGAGAGAGAGACAGCATGAGCAGGGGAGGGTCAGAAAGAGAGGGAGATACAGAACCCGAAACAGGGTTCAGGCTCTGAGCTGGCTGTCAGCACAGAGCCCTACACGGGGCTCGAACTCACAAACCATGAGATCAATACCTGAGCCTAAGTCGGACTCTTAATCGACTGAGCCACCCAGGTGTCCAGAACTTTGTCTTGAAGAAAGGAAGGGAGGAAGGGAGGGAAGGAGGGAGGAAGGAGGGGAGGAAGGGAAGAAGGAAGGAAGGGAGGGAAAAGAAAAGAAAAACCCTCAAGGGTCTCAAAGAAGATTCTCTAATGGAAGGATGCGGGAAAACAAGTGGAAGGGAGGGTGATGATGCCTGCTTAGTGGGTGGACAGGAAGGTGTTTTTGGAAGGCTGTTTTAAGCTCAGTTCTGGAAGAAGAATAGGTATTTGTCATGTGCACAGAGAAAGTGACAGGGACCTCAGGCAGGGGGAACTGCCAGAGGGAAAGACAGCAGTGTGAGAACCATGATACACTTAGGGAACTTCCGGTGGCATCAGCATGGCTGGAGTACAAGGCGGGGATCAGAGGGCGCTGATGGAAGTGAGGCCAGAACTGAAGGTAGGAGCCGGACCAAGGAGTGGGGGCCAGGGTTGTCATGTGCCAAGCCAAGAACTAGAACTGTCCCCTGAGGACTGTGGGGGGCTCCTGTAGGTTTCTGCAGGTTTGAAGCAGAGAGAAAGGAGGATCAGATTCAAGGTTCAAGAAGATGACTCTAGCACCTGTCAGAAATGATGGATGGACAGTGCGGGAGGGACAAAACGCCAGTGGCTGGAGAACCACCGGGCAGAATAGTGTGCTCTGCAGCCACTGAGGTCCTCAGAAGGTGGTCAGGTCTTTCTAGTCCGGAAGGGAGGAGGCTAAGGGGAGGTGTGGCAAGAGTCTAGAAAACCAAGAACACGCCATCACATTGCCAAGGACTCTGGCCAAAGCTTCAAAAGGGAAAAGTTCATGAACTGGAAAGAAACTGCCCTTCATAAGCTGACCGTGAATTCCTGAAAGAAGCGTGGACTCAAAACACACCTGTAGAGGGTCTGGAAGGTTCCTGACTGAGAGGAGGGAAGGGGGGCTGGGACTCCAGGGGCCCAGCCTGCATTTGGGGGTGTGGAGGACAGCCAAACTTTGCCCTTGTCCTACACAGGCTCTGATGGCCCTGGTGGCCGGCTCCCTGGCTGCAGAGAAACTGTACCCTGCGAGGGGACAGTGAGGGCTGACCCAGACACTTGCTGCCCCTCCCCGGACCTGGTTTTCTCATCTGTCAAAGGGAGGGTTGACCTACATGGTGGCTACGATGCCTTGCAGCTGTCATTGTCTTCTACTGACTGAACTAAAGCTGGCCCTGGGTTTTGGAGGCAGGGAGAAGAGTGAGGGAGGTGGGAGGCAGAGAAACTGCCAGGGTCAGGGCTGGGGGGCCTCAGGGGGCACTGAAGCATGCCCACAATGCTTCATCAGAGATTTACTGAGCCCTTACGAGGTGCCAGGGACCATTCTAGGCCTCGGGGGTTAGAGCAATGCCAAAAACAGACCCAGGGCCTACCCTCAGGGAGCACACAGTCTGGTGCACATGTCTGGGCACTCAGGCGGGTGCAGCCCGGGTCTCCTCGGCCCCGGCAGGGGCAGGGTGGGTGACCTCAGCCAGTCCCTGTATGTGCCCCTTGCAGGTGTTCTCCGCGGCGTCCCCGTTTGAGGTCAATGGTCTCCCACGAGCTGTGCCTCTGAGCCTGCCCTACCAGGACTTCAAGAAAGACCTCTCTGATTACCGAGAACGGGCTCGGTTGCTCAACAGGGTCCGGAGGGTGGGCTTCTCCCACATGCTGCTCACCGCCCCCCAGGTCCCACTGGCTCCTGTTCAGCCTCAAGCTAATGGGAAGGAGGAAGAGGAGGAGGAAGAGGAGGAGGAGGAGGAGGAGGAAGAGGAGGAAGAAGAGGAGGAGGAAGAAGAGGAGGAGGAAGAAGAGGAGGAAGAGGAGGAGGAGGAAGAGGAGGAGGAGGAAGAGGAGGAGGAGGAGGAGGCAGTGGTTCTAGGGGAGGTGCTGGGGCCTCGCAGTGGCTCCAGCAGTGATGGGAGCGAGAGGAGCACGGACCGGAGCCAAGAGGGTGCCCCTTCCACGCTGCTGGCTGACGACCAGAAGGAGTCCAGGGGCCGGGCCTCCATGGCCGACGGGGACCTGGAGCCTGAGGAGGGCTCCAAAACGCTGGTGCTCGTCTCCCCCGGCGACATGAAGAAGTCGCCCGTCACTGCCGACCTGGCCCCGGACCCTGACCTGGGCACTCTGGCTGCCCTCACTCCTCAGCAAGAGCGGCCCCAGCCCACCGGCAGCCAGCTGGACGTGTCGGAGCCAGGCACCCTGTCCTCTGTCCTCAAGTCTGAACCCAAGCCTCCTGGGCCCGGAACAGGGCCGGGGGCCGGGTCAGTGACCACAGGGGCGGGAGGAGTGGCCGTGACCTCCTCACCCTTCACCAAAGTTGAGAGGACCTTTGTGCACATTGCAGAGAAAACCCACCTCAACGTCATGTCTTCCGGAGGACAAGCCTCCCGGTCTGAGGAGCTGGGCGCCGGGGGCGAGCTGGGCCCGGAGGCGCCCCCTGACGGGAGGGCTGTGGAGGAGGCGGCCTCCGTGCCCCTGGAGAACGGCGAGGCCCAGTCGGGGCTGGAGAGCTGTGCTCTGTCTGGACGCCCGGGGGATGGCCCCTTGGAGGTGGTCACGGACTCCCTGCCCAATGGCCAGGCCCTGGCCAACGGGCCAGCCCCGGCGTCCCCGCTGGAGCCAGGCCCCGAGAAAGTGGCCACCGTCTCCCCCAGCCGCCAGGCCAGGCCAGGCCCTCGCCCCAGGAGCCGGATCCCTGTCCTGCTGTCTGAGGAGGACACAGGTTCGGAGCCCTCGGGCTCCCTGTCGGCCAAAGAGCGGTGGGGCAAGAGGGCCCGACCACAGCAGGACCTGGCGCGGCTGGTGATGGAGAAGAGGCAGGGCCGCCTGCTGTTGCGGCTGGCCTCGGGGGCCTCGTCCTCCTCCAGTGAGGAGCAGCGCCGGGCCTCTGAGACGCTCTCGGGCACGGGCTCGGAGGAGGACACGCCTGCCTCGGAGCCTGCCGCCCCCAGGAAGGCCGGGCGGGCCGCCGCCGCCACCCGGAGCCGGATTCCCCGCCCCATCAGCCTCCGCATGCCCGCGCCTGCCGCCGCCGCCGCCCCGCAGTCCCCCGGCACACCCCACAGCGCCGCCCCCGCGTCGGACACAGCCATCACCAGCAGGTGAGAAACCGCAGCCAGCTCCAGGGCGGGCCCAGGGTGACCACACAAGGCCTCCACCGGCAGGGGCCTCCCCAGAGCCAAGGTCAGGTTCCTAGTGAGGCTGCTGCTACACCCGCTCACCACCTCCCCCCCATTAGGCGTCTCTTCGGACTCAGGTCCCAGCCCTGTCACTGGGCTCAAGGGAGTGGCGACAGTGAACATGTCTAGAGGGGTGCCAAGGGGGCCAAGTTTGGGAGAGGTTAATAGGGGCCAGCGGGGCTCGCATCACAGCCTCGGGTGTGTCAGGAGCCATTTGAAGCCAAAGGATAAAGACCGGAGTAGTGAAAACATTGGGTGAAAACATTATTCCTATCAATGTAAACACGGGTACGTTACAGAGGAGAATGTAAAATCCATGAGAATTTTAACGATGAGACAGTGGCGTCCAAGAAAGCCTGCAGCAAGCTCTCGGGGAGCAGCCTGGGAGCGTGTGGACCCTAGAGGTCCCGCCCTGGAGGATGGAGCACCGGGCCTCAGTTTATTCACCTGTGCCTGTTCCTCAGCCTCACCCAGCTCTGAAGACGCAGGACTCTAAGGCTCAGGGCCCAGAGTTTCTGAAAATGTCTCTCCTTTTTAAATTTCTTTGCCCTCTTCTCTTCTCTTGCCTTCCGCACCCCTCTGCCCCTCTCCTCCCGCAGGCTCCAGCTGCAGAAGCCCCCCGGGTCGGCCGTTCCTGCTGACCTCCGCCCCAAACAGCCCCCCGGCCGCGGCCCGGGCCCAGGGAGAGCCCCAGCCGCCACCAGGCCCCCCGCCCCGCGAAGCCCAGGCCCCTCCACCTCCGCCGCGCCGCGCCATCCCAGCGCGTCCCCCCGGAGCCAGTCCCTGTCCCGCAAAGAGAGCTCCTCCCCTTCGCACCAGGTCCGGCCCGCAGGCCCCCCGCCCCGGGGCGCCCCGCAGGCCCGGGCCCAGTCTGATGGCACCCCCTCTCCGGGGGGCCCCAAGAAAGGACCCAGAGGGAAACTCCAGACTCAGCGCGCAGCAACCAAAGGCCGGGCGGGGGTCGCGGAGGGCCGGGCCGGGGCCAGATAATGACGCGCGAGGCTCTCCGCGGCCCCCCACCCTCACCCCGGCCCCCCACCCGCAGCCGGCCACACTGAAACAGCTCCCAGCACAGCCTTACGCGCCTGACGCGCGCCACCCGCGGCCCCAGCTTCCCGCCTGCACCCGCGAGGACGAGCGCCAGCACTCGCCGCGCCCGCCCGCCGGCCCGGCCGGAGGGGGGCGGGGGACGCCTCGCCGCGGGGGGGTGGGGGGAGCGCCAGCCTCTCGGTCCTCCTCCCTCTCCCCGTGACCCCTGCCCTCCCCCTGCTGCCCTTCGGGTGGGGCAGGCTCACCCTCCGCCCCGGGGAAGGCTCAGCCACTTTTTCACTGAGGACTCCACTAATGGGGACGCCCCCGCTCACCCGCCAGGCCTCTGCTGCTCTTCGTGCTCCCCCAGGGACCTCTGCTTACACCTCCTGCGGCGCCTTTCCCTCTTCCAAACGGCCTTCTTCCAGCCCAAGCCCACCCACCCCTACTTTGAGAAAGGCGGCCTCAAATTCCGGAAGTGGAAGTTCCAGCCTCTCCTCTGCCAGGGACCAATAATACCACAATCACCTGGAAGCCGTGGTGGTCCAAAAGGCCTCTTCTCAGCTGCTAGGCTGGGGCTGGGGAGCTGGGATCCAGGGGCCATTGGTCTACTCAGGTGAGAGGGGGGCAGATCTGACCAGCCCCAAAGTCAGCTCCATCCTGGACACCCTGTGGAAGATGGCGGGCAGGTGATTGGGGGGCGGGAGGGAGGCTGCTCTCCTGCACCCCTAGGGTGCAAAGCCCTCCTCCCCATAAATTTGGGTGGTTCCTCAAAGGGAGCCATAGAGTGTGTGTGTGGGCTGCCTTCCTGGGCACATGTTTCCCAATGGGAAGTTGGAGGGGGCTTTGAAAAAGGTTTCACCCCTCCCTTGGCCTCCTGATCCAGTGCTCAGGACCCCTCACCATCAGGAATTCCTTCTTGCCATCTAACCTCAATCCTGCCTGCTGCAGTTTCAGCCAACTTCCTTCTCTTCTGAGTTCAGTGGAGGTGGAGAATGGCTGGTTTTCATCTTCTCTGCACTGGCCCTTTAGAGATTCAGGGACTCAGTTCTGGCCGGGTCACCCTTTCGGTCCTCCTGGGGTGGGGAGCGGCTTGGATCAGACCATCATCTCCGCCAGGGGGTAGAGAGAGCAGAAACAGGCAGACAGACAGCTGGCCCCTGGACGCAAGACAAAAAGGCCCTTCTAGCTTCCAGGTTGTATGCTTGTGTGATGAGTCCAGCCTAAGTCCCCTCCTCCCCCAGCTAACCCTTCAGCGTGTCCCCTCTTGTCTTAACCCCAACCCATGCAGCTGAGCTGTCCCTGCAGAGGGTGAGGGCTGTGCTGCTCCATGGACGGACATGGGGCTTCCTCCTGGGTCTGGCTCCTGCATAGCTCATCCCACCTCATCATGAGCCTCAACTGCCTACGTCTTGGCCAAGCAGCACACTGGCTACAGAAGGGACAGCCACCTCTGTCTATCTGGGACAGGTCCCCTGCAGGCCTCCTCCATCTTCAGCCTCTGTCCCCTGGCCTGGCCCCTCTGTTCTTCTGTGGCTCACAGAGAGCAAGGCAAGGCAACCAGGGGAAGAGGATGAAAGGCCCCAGCATGTCCCAGTGGTGAGGCAGCGTCCGGCCGCCATCGCTTAGAAGGATGCCCCTGAGGAAGCTGGCCCTGGGAGCAGCCTGGCGGTGCCAGCCAAAGCCCCTCGTGGAGAGTCAGCAGGCTTGGGCAGCTGTTTCCACACCAAGGTGGTGGCTTCTCTGCAAACCAGCCCAGGGGAGGACTCCAGGGTGGACGGCCTTCAAGGTCCATCCCATGCTGACGCAGAAGCTCTCAGAACACTCAGGAAACCTCTCCGGACAGAGCCCTCTTTGTCAACCCGAGACCCTCCCAAGGCCTCTACTGCCCTCTGGGTCTAGCAGAGGGGGTGGAAGAGGGGCCACTCCCTCCCACCTAGAGCTTCTCCGAATGACAATCAGCTCGTGCCAGGTGGGGACCAGGGCATGACCCCCCGGTGCCCCAGTCCTGGGCCTGCTCCTTGCCACCAACCGAACCGTGAATGTAGGGCCCCCAGCTTCACCCCTGCCCCAGGACCAACAGCACCCTGGTTTGGTGTCGGGAAGAAAAGGGGGCGGCCTGAGAGAGCCCCAGGCCCATCCCACCCCTAGCTTCACCCAGCACTGGAGCTGGGCAGAGACGCAAAACCCTGTCTGCTCTTGGGATTCCAGACCTCCCTAGGGCTTCCAACTGACCTCAGGCCTCTGTGTCATGGAATGTCACCAAGGTGGGGGAGGAAGGGAAGGAGCGAGGGTGGGAGGGGACGAGGGAATTCACTCTGCTCCTCTCCCCAGGAAGGATCCAGGGCAGAGGAAACCATGCCTCCCAGTGTCCCCACCCCCAGCGCCAGCCTCTTCCCCCTTGAGCACCCATCCCCTCCACCAAGCCCTCCTGGTCCTGAGCCCTTTCTCTATAAAAGAGTGTCACACCACCCCTAGCACCACCCCACCCCTCTAGCACTTCCCCATCGTGACAAACCTGTGTCATTGGCTCAGACACAGGTCTGCTCACCCCAGAACATGCCTCCCCTCCCCAAGCCACACTGGCACGAAGCGGGTGCAGGAGAAGGGCCATGTCCCGTTCACGTGGGCACCCCCCTTCTGGGCTCCTCACAGGGGCCTGGCTCAGTCTTCTCAGCTCCGGGGATCAGCCCTGGTGGGCATGGAGTGGGGGGCAGGGAGGTGCCCTCCCCCTCCCCCAGGGAAGCCACTGAAGAATGTTTACACGCCAAACAGAATGTAACACCCTCCCCCACCTCTTCCCAGTCACTGCATGGCCTCTGCCCACCCTGCACCTGTCCACCCCCACCCCAACACCCTGGAAGCCGCTGTCATGATTAGATCGGGTCTCGGAAGGGAAGTAGCCATCACACCATTAAAAAGCCTGTGGACCTTTCGTTCTGTTGGCCTGGACTCTTCTTCCTTTGGGGAAGAGGGAAAAGCCTAGGCCATGGGGCTGAGAACCGGCAGGGGACAAGAATGCAAGTTGGTGAGCAAGTGGGAGTGGCCTGTCACGGAAGCAGAGCGTCTCTACAGAGATGGAAACAGACGCTCAGGCTCAGGCACCGACACAGAGTCACACTGGTGGAAGAAGGCTACTCCCTGTGTCCGATAGCTCTCTCAGCTCCCTGGTTGTCTCTTCAAAGGCCGGAGGCTCCAAGTCTAGCTTTGTGCCGAGAGGAAGGGAGGAAGAATGTTCATTGCCCCGAAGTTAACAGACACAAGTGAGTTTGGAAAACCGTAAAGCTAAAAAGCTCACAGGCAAGGTCATTATTCTAGCAAAATCTATGAAAATTATAAATGTAGCCTATGACCTAGCATCACCACTTCCAGAAACGTATCCTATCGACGGACTCAGAAACTGGCAAAAATTCCATGTGTCCAAAGTTACTCACTGCAGCATTCTCCACAGAGCCCCCCAAACCTCAGCTGCTAGCTCACACTCAAAACAGTCTGGAAATGGGCATTTTTTTCATTAGATTCACACAAACCCATGTGGTATCAGAACCTGACAGGACCATTTATAGTCTTCATTAATTCCACTTATCATACATGTTTGCAATGGAAATATCAGTGTGTTTGATCCTATTAGGGTTTTTCTTAATGTATGGAATATGCACTAAGTATGTGTATATATATTATATATACTAATCCCAATGGTTTGGATAAGACATTCTGGACCTATAAAAGCAAAAGTTTAGAAGCAATCTGAAAGTCCACTAGTTGGGGCTGATGAATACAGCATGGCCAGCCATATGATGGGGACCAGATCACAGTGTTCTGGGAGGCTCTACAGTGAAGGAGGCGTAGACACTTAGTATACACTTGAGGACTGGTCCCTAAGACTAAGAATACATAAAAGAACCATGTGTATAATGTACAGCTATTTATAGATGAGTGAGGGTCTCTGGTTGCTTCAGGGAGGAAGGCTGTGGGGGAAGGGAGGCTTCACTGAGGTGTACTTGCGGTACCTTTTGTATTTTGGACCCTGCATTCACCGGGTGTAAAATTTTCACCTAGGCAATACATGAACAATTTCTGTCTCAGGACAGGCTTCCGGCTGTGCCTGGGATTGGCGGTAAAAGGCACCGGGTTCTGAAGTCCTACTTTAACCACTCAGTTGCAGCTCTGACATTCCAAACCCTGTGTGACCATTTCTTGTTCCCCACCCTCGCCTCCTGGGATCCCCTTTCCTCTGACAAGCGTGCCAGGGGGCTCTAGGTTCTAATTTACCAGGCTTCAGTGGGGCCTCCACATGCTTTCAACTTCCTTTTTGTTTAAAAAGCAGGTCATATTTGTAGTATAAAGGTGAAGGTTAACAGCATATAAAACAAAACAGGAAAGCCCCCGTCCATGAATCTGATCATCTAGAGGTAACTCCTACAAACAGATTTTTTAAATATTTGTTTATTTTTGAGAGGCAGAGAGAGAGAGAGAGTGCAAGCAGGGGAGAGGCAGAGAGAGAGCAGGACAGACCATCCCAAGTGAGCTCTGTGCTGACAGCTTCGGTCCTGACCACAGTGGATCTGATGTGAGGTCAAACTCAAGAACCGCAAAATCACGACCTGAACCCAAGTCGGAAGTTGGACGCTCAACTGAGCGAGTCACTCAGGCGCCCAATGGATTTTTTTTTTAAAGATTTGCTTAAAAGTAATCTCTACACCCAACGTGGGGCTCAAATTTACAACCCTGAGATCAAGAGTCACATGCTCTACCCACTGGGCCAGCCGGGCACCCCAATGGCTTTTTCTTTGTGTTTATAATAATAACTCTCTCCCTCCCCTCCCTTTTTCTCTCCCTCTCCGAGCCCTCATAAATAGAAGAGCATATTATACTTGCTATTCTGAAACATGATCTTTATGCCCAACGATATGTCTTAAAATACAGTTTCTAGTGTATTCACAGAGTTGTGCAACCACCACCACAATCAATTTTAGAACATTTCGATCACCCCAAAAAGAAACTCCTTATCCATTAGCAGTCACTCCCAAATCTCCACAACAGCTCCAGCTCTGGGCAACCATGAATCTACTTTCTGTTTCTGTATAGATTTGCCTATTTTGAACAGTTCATATAATACATGAAATACATTTCATACAGTATGCGGTTCTTTGTGACTTCTTTCTTTTACTTAGCATTGTTTTTTTGAGGTTCACCCATTTCATGGCTAAATGATATTCCATTCTGTGGATAGACCATATTTTGTGTTATCCATTTATCAGTTGATGGGCTTTGGATTGTTTCTGCCTTTTGACTACTGTGAATAATGCTTCTATGAATATTTGTTTACAAGTGTTGGTGTGGACATATGTTTTCACTTCTCTTGGGTGTATGCCTAGAAGTAGAATTGCTGGGTCATTCTATGTTTTTTTTTAAAAAGTAAATTTTAAAAATGTTTATTGTGTGTGAGAGAGAGTGCAAGCAGGGGAGGGAGAGAAAGAGAGAGAGAGAGAGAGAGAGAGAGAGAGGAATCCCAGTGCAGAGACTGACACAGTGCTGGACCTCATGAGCCATGAGATCATGACCTGATCCAAAACCAAGAGTCAGATGCTTAACTGACCTAGCCACCCAGGTGCCCCTAGTAATTCTGTTTAACATTTTGAGGAATTACCAAACATTGTACCCTTTTACATTCCCACCGGTAATATATGAGGATTCTCATGTTCTTTTTAGTGGCTACATAGTAGTCCATGGCATGAATATTCCATAATGTATTTAACCTACTCCTTGTTGATTTTTCATTGGATTCTTTCCAACTTTTCACTTTCAAATAGTATCAAAGTTAACATCCTGGCTCCAATCTTTGCTTATCTCTGCAAGTCTAGTACTAGGAAAAATCCCCAGAATAATCAAATAGATGAAAAATGGTATCTTGTTCAATTTTTGATTTCTCTTACTATTATTGGGAAGGAAGGAAGGAATGCCATTCATTATTTAACATTTGTTCAATCATTCACTCATTCAATTAATACTTCAGGCCATTGCTGAGCTCCGCATGTACCAGAAGCTCTGCCAGACATGGGGCATTGTCTGATAATTGAGGCAAAACATAGTGGATCCTCAGCTTTCACTTGCCATGTGCTATGTGCACTCAGGCAGAGACTCCTAGCCCAGAATGGGTGCTTCAAGGAAGGGCTCCAGATGGATATGATTCTTAGACTGAATTTTGAAAAACAAACTGAAGTTGGCCAGATGACAGGGAGAGGACATTCTTGGCAGATGGCGCAGCATGGGCCAGGTGTAGAGGTGTGAGGGCTACATGTGATTCAGTGTGGTGGTTAGTGGTGTGAACTGAGGAGTAGAGAGAAGAGTGAAAGGTGGTGGGACCAGGCCTGAGGTAAGGGTAGACTGTGCCAAGGAGGACAGCTTTATAAGGCTGCAGAGAACCCCTGTCCTCCCCATTCCCCAAGCCTGAGACCTGCTGGGCACACTCTCCTCCTGAGGCCCAACATGACAGCCTACCTGATGCTCCATGGGTGAGGACCTGCCCAGCTCCTGGCCAGCCTTCTCCCCACTTCCCAAGAAAGATATTTCTCTTGTCCTATGACTCAGAGAGCTCTGAGGACATGGGCACAGAGAAATAAGCGGCTTCATCGAGGCTGCCCAGCCAGGGGCTAGAGCGGAGCCATAAGATCAAGGACATTGGAGGGGACTTTGTTAGTAGAGAGAGGTCCCTTGGCTATACCCTGAGAAAGGAGACAGGGTAGGAGTGTGGAGGGTGCCATGCCTCAGAGCATCAGACACTGGGGCCTGCTGAAATTTTTCCTCTGGCTAATCAGGAGTCAAGGCCAAACCAAGACCAAAAGATGGCCAAGATGGTCTTCTAAGACCTCAGCAAAGCTCATGGTGATGAGGTGATAGGTGGGGGGGAGGCTGCATGGTCATGGGAATGTGGGGTTAAAAGGAACACATGTTCATCAACTCCAAGTGGCATTTTTTGCATCCGTCTCATCCCATTACCGTTAAACCCAAAGTGGCATAACATCACCCATTACCACCACCATCAAATTTACCACAATTACTACCTCTATCTCCATTACCCACCTCTTACTCTCTTACCAGGGCCATCATTACTCAAATCACAGATACCCTACTCCCAAACTAGGAGTTTGGTGGTAATCACCACCATTACCATCAACATTACCGGCCTCTGATGACATAATGATTAACGAGAGAGATAAGATTCTTGCTCTCAGGGATCCTACAAATCTTCATCATGACCACCACCACCATCACCATCTCTACCATCACCTCCTCCACCATTAATACCACCGCCACAGTCAGTACCATCTCCAATATAACCCTTGTCACCACCACTGCCTTCATAACCACATCAGTATTACCATTATCCTAGCCACATAGCCTGCACCCCCACTCCAGTCATCCCCATCACCATCATTTTACCATCAGGATTCCCACTCGATCACTATTACACCATCCCATTACCATATATATCACTAAATTGGGATTCCATCAGTTGGAATTCCACCATCATTACCACCATCACCAATGTAGGAAAGAATTACATGGGTTGTAGCAGTGGTTAATGGTCAGGGAAGCCCCAACTAAGAAGGGAAGATCATCTGAGGTCACTCAATGTAGAGAGGGGCAAAAGAGTAAGAAGTTTTAAAGTGTACGAAAACTGTATTGTAGGCCATTCCACATGGGGAACTGATTCTTCCCCAAATCCCCTAACGGTCCTAGCAATAATTTCAATGAAGGAGTTGCTATTTTTCCAGTGCACAAGGCTCTTTCTCATCTAGTTTAGTATAAATGAATGTTTCCTCCATCTTGGCCGCTGGACTCAAGTTTGGATTCCCAGGTTGGAGACGGATGAGATTGGTTAAGAATTTAATCAAAGCCAGCTCTTAACTGGTGATTTTAGAGCTGATCTGCCCTCTGGTTAGACCCTTGTCATTTCAAACCTTGCCTGCCTATTTCCATCATCTGCCTCCAAACAGCATGGTCCCTGTCACCACCACTCCTTGATGACATCAGAGAGAGTTGTGATATGAGGGAAGGTGGGAACAAGATGAAGCCAGGAGTACAATTAATACCAAATTATTCTCTGTAGGAAGGGGCTGCAGATTTAAATCTGAGCTTCCTAGGAGCCAAGGCAAAGAGGGAGAGGTAACCACTATCTGACTATCAGCTCTTTCTCATGTTAAGGCAGGAGAGAAATTCCCATTGTGGAGAAAAAAAAAAAGCACCACAGCCAATGCCCAGACTTGGCCTCATTGGCTGTTTCCTCTGGCTGTGATAACTTCAGGGTATTCCCTATGAAGCATGGAGGTAAGATGCCTGCAAAACTTAGTTCTTGGAGCTGCAAATGGTTGTGGTTATATATTTGTTTGTTTAAATAGGCTCCATGCCCAACATGGGGCTTGAACTCAAGGTCCTGAGATCAAGAGTTGCATGCTCTACCAACGGAGCCAGCCAGGTGCCTCAATATTTTACATTTTTATATAAATAATATGATTATGAGGGAGGAGCCAACAGGGTAGAGGTCACATGTAGGTGAGAGCAAGAGGGGCAGGGCTGTGTCACTCGTGAGCCAGTCTCCAGGGCAGCTTGGCCATCCACCAGGGGGTTAAGAGTGAGGCCAGCGCTGGGGCGCCTGAGTGGCTTAGTCGGTTAAGCCTCCGACTTTTGCTTAGGTCATGATCTCGCGGTTCGTGGGTTCGAGCCCCGTGTCGCGCTCTGTGCTGACTGCCAGCTCAGAGCCTGGAGCCTGTTTCAGAGTCTGTCACTCCCTCTCTCTCTGACCCTCCCCTGCTCACACTCCCTCTCTCTCTCCTAGAAATAAATAAAACATTAAAAAAAATTAAAAAAAAAAAAAAAAGAGTGAGGCCAGCGCTGCCCAGGGGACTGCACTGAGGAGTGAGGTGCCAACAGGCTGGTGTGCTTGCGGAACTGGACGGAAGGGGGCATGGTGGGGAAGAGCCAGGGGCGGGCTGAGGGGGGTGGTGCCAGTCCTGGGTGGGAAATCACATGGGCCAAATGAAGAAGCTGGACTTTCACCCTCCAGCAGTGGGAGCTTTGCCCTGGGACGCTGCCCTGTCAGCTCTGTGTTTCCGAATGTCCGCTATGGCAGGTGTGCGGAGCGTGGCCTGAGAGGAGTGCGACTGGAGGCAGGCAGCCTTGTTCACCTGGTTCTAACCCTCCTGCTAGACTGTGTGCTCCCTGAGGGCAGGGCTGTGACCGAGGCATCTTTGCACTCTGCAGGATGCTTAGGTCATCTTACAGTTATCGCCTCCTGTCACGGCCATTAGGTCACTGTCCTTGCTCCCAGGCGCCCACGCTATTAGCACCACTCTTACCACACACCATGTCCGTGAGCGAGTTCTCCCCCATCCCCCACCCCGCCCCCGGCGCTTTCTCTGGGAGCGCACGGTGCACACGGAACATCCCCAGTGCAGCAGGTCAAGGGCCTGGGCCGAGGCAGGGATCCTGGTCCTCTCTCCAGTTCTGCCGCTGAGTCACTGTGTGGCCCCAGCGCCCCCCCCCCCCCCCCCCCCCCCCCCCCCCCCCCCCCCCGCCCCGCTCCCGCCACTCCCTACCACCATTTCCTTAACTGTTCAAAGTGAGGGCTACATTAAATTCGTGGTTTTCAAACTTTACTTAGAAATCTTTACTTAGCCTCTTTACTTAGAAATCTGGAGCCCTCGGGAAAAAATGTGACAACCCCCCCAGCCCCAGCTCTGCCAACCTTGAGTTTGGAGAAGCAGAAGAGAATAAAGCTGATATTGCTGCCTCTGCTGTGCTTTTGCCGCAGAGGCCATGAATGGGAACCGCATGGGGAAGGTCAGACAAATCCCGAGTCTTAGGCATTGCAGTTACACATGGTGGGACCTTGGCAAACCTTCTCTTCCCCTGCCCACTCAATCCCCCAAGGGGAAGCTCTTGAAAATAGGGGCGGGGGAGGCAGAAGGGACTATGTGTATGGGAAGTGGGAGGGCGATGGGTCTGGGATCCCCCAGGCTGCCCAGTGCAGTTCCTGGTGTGTCTCAGGCCAGGGCACAAGCTCCGGGTCAGGGCTCAGGGGCACAGGGAGGCTTTGTGGCTCAGCCGAGAGAATTCTTCAACCTGGTTAGGGCCTGGCTCTCAGTCTTGAAACCTGAGGCCTCAGCCAAGCTGTGGCTTCAGTATGTAAGGCTGACCTAAATCTTCACAGGACAAAGGGCATCCAGGAGAGTTGCCACCAGGCCCCAGGGGACCCCTCTTGGGGCTCTGTTGAACCCGGGACCAGGGGCTCGCTTCCTGCACACCTAGCTACCCCATCATGGCAACTCGAGGCTGCTCCAACCGGTCCCAGAGCCACGGAGCCTCTGAATGGATGGCAGCCCCTCACCCAGGCACTGGGCCAAACAGGCAGGGATCCCTGGAGACGTGGTGAGCAGGGAGGGCTCGGTCCCGGCCCAGCCCCAGAGGGCTGGATTCTGACTACAGGCTCCTGCTCATCAGTCCAATTGTTCCCGCCTCCAGAGTCCAAAGGTCCAAGCCATGGGCGGACTCTGCTGCACCGAGCGCTACAGAGGAAGCCCGCACTCAGATCGGTTGGTGGGTGGGTGGGCAGCATGAGGTTTGAAGAGCTGCTAGAGCAGGTGGGCGGCTTTGGGCCTTTCCAACTGTGGAACACAGCCCTGCTGGCCCTGCCCCGGCTGCTGCTGCCCATGCACTTCCTCCTGCCCATCTTCCTGGCTGCCGTACCTGCCCACCGCTGTGCCCTGCCTGGTGCCCCCGACAACTTCAGCCACCAGGACGCATGGCTGGAGGCCCGCCTGCCCCGGGAGCCCGACGGCACCCTCAGCTCCTGCCTCTACTTCACCCACCCCCAGGCCCTCCCCAACACCACGTTGTGGGGAGCGGGTCAGAGCCCTGGGCAGCTGGAGGGCGAGCCTTCCACAATGCCCTGCCCTCAGGGCTGGGAGTACGACCGCTCCGAGTTCTCCTCCACCATCGCAACCGAGGTACATGAGCAGGAGACTGGGGGGCACGTGAGTGGGATGCGCCTGCCACTGCTCTGGGTGACTGCTCTGTGGGCGTTAGACACATTACCTTACCTTTTAGAGTCTCAGTTTACCTATTCGTAGATGCGCTCTATGAATTTAAAGCACTGAACTTAGTTCCTGGCTTGTAGTAAGGAGCCCATACACTGGAGCTATTGCCAGTTAGGAGATGATTAAGGCCGGGAAGGGCTAGGATGGCCCCGAGGAGCTGGGCAGAGAGTTGAGAAGAGTGTTTCGGCAGTAGAAGGAGGAGACACAACCGAGGCCTCCTTCTTTCCCTTCTTTTTGGCCCCAGGTCTGGGATTGACATAATCCATCTAGAGGTGAGTGCACATGGGGGTAGGGTCTCTCTAGAGAGGAGCAGACTTGCTGTCAAGGTCAAGACGCTCCATGGGAAGAAGCTGAGGCTGCCGAATTGGAGAGGGGCAAAGTCTCTTACCCCTCAAGTGGGAGTGAATAGTTGAGGGTTTATTACCTGACGTGGAGGTACCAAGATGGGACAGTTGACCTCAGGCGGTCCGAGAGTCTGGAGGCCGGGGTGGGGGGGCTGGTGCTAGCTAGAGAGGGTGGGTACCCATGAGAGGCCCCTCCCTGTCTCTCCCTGCAGTGGGATCTCGTGTGTGAGCAGAAAGGCCTGAACAAAGCCACGTCCACCTTCTTCTTTGCTGGTGTGCTTGTGGGGGCTGTGGCCTTCGGATATCTGTCTGACAGGTGGGGGGCAGTGGGGAGGGCAGTAAGGGAGCGGGGTGGGGAACCCTCTCCCACTAGTCGGGGTCTGGGCCAGGTCTCCCTGTGTCGCGGGACCTCCCCTCTACAGGGAACGGACCCTGCATGACCCCTGTGCAGGTTTGGGCGGCGCCGCCTACTGCTGGTGGCCTATGTGAGTTCCCTGGTGTTAGGCTTGGCGTCTGCAGCCTCGGTCAGTTACATCATGTTCGTCATCACCCGCACCCTCACTGGCACAGCTCTGGCTGGCTTCACCATCATCGTGATGCCACTGGGTGAGGCAGGCAAAGGATGGCCCAGAAGACTGGAGGGAGGCAGCCGTCAAGGGTGAGACTGAACTCATCTGGTCCTTGCTAACTGTCTTGCTATCTCCGGCCCCTGCCCTGGGCCCAGAACTGGAATGGCTGGACGTGGAACACCGCACCGTGGCAGGTGTCCTGAGCAGCATCTTCTGGACAGGGGGTACGATGCTGTTGGCACTGGTCGGGTACCTGATACGGGACTGGCGATGGCTTCTGCTGGCTGTCACCCTGCCTTGTGCCCCAGGCATCCTCAGCCTCTGGTGAGGATTGTGGGCAGCTCGGGAGTGGGAGATAGAGGAAGCCAGACATAGAGTTAATCAGAGGCAGAGATCCGAATACAGAGTGACTGAGACATGAAGAGAAAGAAAAAGTCAGTGACCGAGAAACACAGAGAGAGAGAGAGAGAGAGAGAGAGCAGCACAAAGATGACGACAGTGGGCATGAGAAGCAGAGAAACACAGAATAACGTAGTGAGAGACAGCAGAGAGACAGGAACAGAAGCAGTGAGAGATAGCAAGGAACAGAGACCAGGACTGAGGGGCAGATTCAGAGGGACAGACAGAGATGGCCGTGGGAATGACAAGAGAGACAAGGATGGAGAGAGAGGGCCAGCAGAGGGGTAGGGAGTCCAGGCAGGACAATAGGAAGCCAGGCAGGTGGGCATTTCGTTGTCTTCCAAAAATGAATGGGCTTTTGATGCCCCTCGGGGATTTCTGGATGTCTGTCTCTCCTTCATCCTATGCCCTCCTGTCACTTGTGGGAGAAGTAGGTGGCTGATGCTGGGGGCTGGGAATGAGACCCATCCTGTTGAAGAGAGAAGGGAATCCCAGGCTGTGGAGGACCTAAGCCCAGGCAAGGAAGTGTGGGAGGAGGTGGATTTTAAGTTGAACTTTAAAGGATGAATAAAAGTTTGTCAGGTGAGGAGGGTTTGAGAAGGAGAGAACATTCCAGGGTGAGGGGACCACACGAGCAAGAGCCTGGAGGCTGGCAGGCTGTGGTGTGTCCAGGAGGGAGATGGGACTTCGGGTGCTGACTCTGCCTGAAGGGCCTCCTGCTGTCCCCCAGGTGGGTGCCTGAGTCTGCGCGCTGGCTTCTGACCCAGGGCCGTGTGGAGGAGGCCCACGGGTACCTGCTTCGCTGTGCCAGGATCAATAGGCGGCCTGTGGGTGAAGACGGCCTGAGCCAGGAGGTGAGGGTGAATGTGTGTGTGTGTGTGTGTGTGTGTGTGTGTGTGTGTGGCTTGTGTCCAGTGTCCAGCCCCTTGCTGGGGCCCACTGAATGTGCAGGAAAAGCTCCTGGCGAAAGGAGGAGGAATAGAGACCCAGAGAGATCAGTGTGCCTAGCTAAGGCCCACAGCCAACTCTGATGTCACAAACTCTCCTCTCCCGCCAGGCCCTGAGCAAAGTGGCCACAAGTGAACGAGTGGTCCGAAGACCTTCGTACCTAGACCTGTTCCGGACCCCACGGCTCCGACATATCTCACTATGCTGCATGGTGATGTGGTGAGGAGGGGGAGGGTGGACAAAGAGGCAGACCCCAGAACAGTGCTGAGTGAGAGATGGAGGGGCAGGTGAGCTGTAACTGTGCAGGGCAGGACGACCAGCCTCTGGGGGAGATGGGGCTCTGGAAAATCACGAGATGGAGCAGGCATCAGAGGCAGGGTTCAAATTCAGGTGCTGCCACTTCCTTACTGTGAGATCTGGGACAGGTCACTTAACCCCAACCAAGCCTCAGAGCCCTTTCTGCAAAACAGGACGCTGTTAGTTCCCACCTCACAAAGTTGCTGTGAAGATTGGGTAAAGACGCTTTGGCCACTGGCACGCGCTGCACACTCGGGGGGCATTATGGGGACAGGGATGGTGGTGGGTAGAGGGCTCCGGAGGTGGGGGAGGTGGTCCCTCTAAAAGGCCAAGGCTCCCTAGGAAGAGAGGACAACGGGGGTTAAGAGGAAGGCCCCTGAGAGGCATCGCGACCCCTTTCAGGTTTGGAGTGAATTTCTCCTATTATGGCCTGAGCCTGAACCTGTCGGGGCTGGGGCTGAACGTGTACCAAGTGCAGCTGCTGTTCGGGGCCGTGGAGGTGCCCTCCAAGCTGCTGGTCTACGTGTTGGTGCGCCGCGCGGGACGCCGTCTCACGCAGGCAGGAACGCTGCTCGGCACCGCCCTTGCTTTGGGTGGCAGACTGCTGGTGACCTCGGGTGAGCCCCACCCGGAGGCCCCGCCCCCTGGCCCAGAGCTCCTGCCCTCCCCTGCCCACCACCAGAGGCCCCTACTCCAAGCCCTCGTTTGGGGAACCTCCCACCCTGGGAGTTCTAGATCTCGCCCAAGGTCTGCTCACTGCCTGAACCCCTTTTCCTCCAGAGATGGGGTCTTGGAGCACCGCCCTGGCAGTGATTGGGAAAGGTTTTTCTGAAGCTGCCTTCACCGTTGTCTTTCTGTTCACATCGGAGTTGTACCCTACGGTGCTCAGGTGAGGGGAGCCGCTGCCAACATGGCAAGGTCTGTGGGTGCTGACCCTCTTCCTTCCACGTCACCCTACTGTTGGAATGGGTGTCCCATCCTCTGCTGGCTTGGGGGTCCCTGGCCTGGGGACAGGTGGGAAGACCACCTAAAAGAAGCCTCAGCTCTCTTAGCCATCTGGGCAGAAGAGCCCAGGATGGGAGGCATGACCTTAAGTAGGTGTGAACACCTTCCCCTTCCCCTGTCCTCTCTCTGAACAGACAGACAGGGATGGGGCTGACTGCACTGGTGGGCCGGCTGGGGGGCTCTTTGGCCCCACTGGTGGCCTTGCTGGATGGAGTATGGCCGCCACTGCCCACGCTCGCGTACGCGGGGATCACCCTACTGGCTGCCTGCATTGTCCTCCTGCTACCAGAGACGAAGCAGGCACAGCTGCCAGAGACCATCCAGGACGTGGAGAGGAGGTGTGTGCACAGAACTATGTGTGTCTGCGTGAGCACACGCATGTGGGAATGGGTGCTCAGGTACCTGACACCTGACACCAGGTCTTTAGAGAAGACCTGTCTGTACGTTGTGTATGTGTGCATGGGTGTACGCCCTGAGCTATGTACACTGCATGTGTAAAAGTATACATGAGTCCATATATGTGTGTGTACGCGGGTGTCCAAGACTGTCCAGGAGGAGGTGGATGTGTGCACGCTCAAGTATGTCTGTACATCAGGGATGCGTACGAGCATGTGTGGGAGTCACTTGAGGGAGTACATGTTTGTTTACCAGCAGTTGGGGAGAGGCGTAGGCCAGCCGTGATGGGGCAGGCTTGGGTGGTAGGCCAGGGGGCGAAATCCCCCCATTGCTCATGACTCCTTCTTCCCCAGTGCCCTGTCCAGGCTTCAGGAGGAAGAGATGCCCATGAAGCAGGTCCAGAACTGAGTGGCATCAGGGGCAGGCCCTCCACAGAAGTTCTGCCGCAGGGGATGGAAGATCAGAAGGGCAGGCCCTGTGTCTGGGGCTAGGGGCATCAAGTCCCCTGCCCAGGACTGGAGTTGCCAGCAGTGCCCCCTTGTCTGTGCTCATCCAGCCTTGACTATTTGGCCTCCAGCAACTGGGCAGCTTCCTAGAATGCAGCAGGCTGCTGGGTAATTCTGGTACCCCTCTCAGGGCTGGGGGAATTCTGTAAATAAAGGTGCCCCATGGGTTTGGGGCAGCAGTGAGGAACTGTGGGATGAGCCCTGGATGGGAAGCAAGAGTCTGGCCCTGGGTTCTAATTCCAACTTTGCCATGGATTTGCTGTGTGATCTTGGGCATGTGGCTTTCCCTCTCTGGGCTTCAGTCTCTTCCTCTCTCAGATGGATAATGAAGCCTCTTAGCAGACCTCACCACAGGACCTATCTGTTGTGCTCAAATGAGATGCTGAATCATGTGCTTCTCCTAGAGATGGTGCTAAAGAAGGAATTGCCATATGATGACTAGTGGCACCAACCAACAGGGCCGGTGGGCATGCCGTCCACTCACTGTGTGGTGCTAGGAACTGTCCAGGAAGAGGGTGACAGGAGAACAGAGCTCTTTGTTCCCATGGCCGGCCCTGTCCCTCCCAGGTGGTTTGCAGGGTAATGCATCCCCCCTCCCCACACCTCCCACCCTCCAACCCATTGTTTTAGGCCTCATGCCCAAAGAAGAGTTGAAAGCATGGGAGCCAACGTTTTATTGGAGAAGCCAAAATAAACATGTTTTTTAAGTGCCTGGAAGTTATAGAATTTGCTAGGGAAAGGGATTGGGAAGGCCAGGAGGCTACCCTTTAAAATGTGGTCGCCTAGGTCCCCTGAGCAGATAGGAATGGGAAAGGGAGGACTTGGCAGAGAAAGTCTAGACCCCCTGGTCTACCGTAGAGCCTAGGCCCAGGCCACCTGAAGCCCACCTTCCCCCCGTGGGACTGAAGAATTCTGTAGCTCCCAGTAGGACCATGGAGGGAACGGTGTGAGGTCCGAGTTAGAGTGACCTCTCCTGTAAGCACCTCATTTGGATTTTATCTCCACAGGGTCATAGATGTAGCAGCCCACATCACCAATGTTCACACCTGAGAGAGAGAGAGCCCCATCACCAAGGGCCCCCATGCTGGGGGGTGTTGGGCTGAGGGATGAAAGGAATTGGGAGCGGTCGAGGTTGCGTTGGACCACGGGGCAAGTTGTACACACATTCCCACAGACCCACATGCCATTAGGGCCTCTGTCTGGGGTGCAGCTGCCCACCTTTGGGGCCAAACAGGTAGCCGTAGCAAGGAATGTGGCAGTAGGGGACGCCATCATGCTGGGACATAGAGAGAAAGAGAGCCGTCTCAGCTGGGCTTGCCATCTCCAGCCTCCCTCCTCACGACATAACCAGCCATCCCTGCCCTGTTCACCTCAGCATGACTCCCAGCAGTAAGGGTCTTCCGGCAGCGCTGGCACCTCAGACAGGGTCGGTGCCAATTTCTGCCCAAAGACATCACCTTCTCAGCTGGTGGTGGAGAGAGCTGGTAGTTCTAGGGGCAGGGCAAGGAGACCTGCCTGCTTTGCACCACCTCCCTACACTTAGGTGCCCTGCCTCTGGCCCCCTCCCCAAGCTTTCCACGATCACTTACCAAAATAGACGGGTTCTTCACAGCCAGGGCACAGCGAAGTCTCCCCAGTGAATGTCTTCATGTGGGGAGGGCCTTTAAGGGGAAGAGGCCCTGGCTAGGGCTGAGGTGGGGGCCAGGCCTAAGCAGGGCCCACCAGCACTGGCCCGCACATGGCTTCTTCCAAAAGCCATGCTCATCCCAGAGCCCCTCCTCCCCCCCAGGTGGCCAGGAGTCTGCTTTCTTGGGCAGAGCTGAGTCTCCGATGAGCCCACCTCCCGCCGCATCTCCGTCTGCAGGAGGGATCACCTACTTCTTCTCCTCCCAGGGGCTCAGGCGCCCACCATCCCAGCCTTGTCAGCAACCCAATCCTCAGGAAACCTGAGCTGATACAGGAGCTGGCCAGGGCATGGGTGTCGGGTGTTGGGGAGCATGGTGTCATTGCCCACAGGGGATGGGAGGGAGGAACAGGGAGAGGGGACAAGCGGAAGAATATGAGGGGCTGGCGCTGTCTCAATGACCCCTCACTCCTACGTTTTTCTTTCCGTGGCCTTGGCCTGAGAGAGGCCTGAATTCCAGGTCAGCTTTGCCTCTGACTAGCTGTGTGACTGCACAAGGCCACATGCTCCCTCTAAACTTTGCTGTCCTCACTTGTAAAATGGGGACGATAATGCCATCTACCCAATTTACCTCTTAACTCAGCAGCTGACATAAGGAATCCCTCCCCTCCAAATAAAAAGTGCCATGGACAAAAGAGGACCCTGCCACGAGGCTGCAGGAACGTGAGGCAGAGGCCTAGGTGGGAGACTGCCACCTGGTCCTACCCTTTGTTCCAGCCTGGGGATGAGGAGTAGCTGGGGCCCAACTTCACTTACTTTTCTTGCCCTGGGGGAGGCCAGTCCTGGGCCTGGGGGGGCTAAAGCTGCTGGGGCTGAGGGGAGTGGTGCTGGCAGAGGCGGGACTGGGGGAGTTGTAGAGGTAGGAGCCCACACCACCAATGTTCACCCCTGCAGAGAAAACAGGGGCGGTCAGGCCTGAGTCTCCAGCTCCCGGCCACAAGGAAGGTGCTGCTGTCCCCTGGCCTGGTACTTACCCCTGGGTCCAAAGAGAGCCCCGTAGCATGGCTTGTGGCAATATGGCCTCCCGTTGTGCTAGGCACGAGCAGAGGAAAGAGGGTTGCTCAGGGCTAAAGCAGGGGTTGCCAGGTGTGTCTGGCCGCTGGCGGGGGCTGGTGGGGCTGGGAGGCCTGGAGGGTGAGCTGGCATGCTAGAACCGCCACTGTGGACAGGAGAAAGGGCCACAGCAGGCCAGAAAACTGCGCTGCTTCTCTCCCCTCTCCGCCCCGCCCAAAGGCACAACCAGCACAATTCAGGCGTCCCGAGTCCTGGCTGCTGTGGGGCACTCTGGGTAGGTGGTCTTGGTAGCTGACTGCTGACGTTGCCTTTGGTGAGCCTCCTGAGCTGAAATTGGGGCTTGGTGCTTGCAGAACAGGGACACACACAGGGCTGCGCGCCCTGGCCAGGCCTCACCTCTGCATGCCCTCCTGGGGAAAGGACGCTGTGGCAGCGCTCACATTTCAGGCAGAAGCGATGCCAGTTCTTGCCCAGGGAGCTCACCTTCTCCGCTGTGGGGGACAAGGTGGAACCGGGCTGGGGGGAGCTAGGCCAAGCAGCGGGCGCCCCCATCCCCCTCCTTATCCCCGCCCGCGCTGCTTCCTAAAGACCACGAGGAGGGTCTCCCAGAGGCCAGTTCCAACCCGCCCGAGTGCCCTGCTCCCCAGAGGTGGAAAGGGGGTCTGAGACCACACAGTCGCCAGCTCCTCGCGTCCTCAGGGGACGCCCCATCTCCCCCTCCCTCCTCAGCCCGGGCCTCACCGAAGAAAACGGGTTGCTGGCAACGCGGGCAGGTCCAGCTCATGGCTCCGCGCAGGGAAGCTGGCGCCGCACACAGTAGGCACCACCTAGGGGGCTCCGTTCCCGCCCCCTTCGCTGGCCCCTCCCACGGTTCAGCTCATTGGACTCATTGGAGGCTCATTGGAGCCTCATTGGGCTGAATCCGAGGCTCCGAGGCTCCTATTGGCCGCCAGAAATTTAGAACCACCCCACCTGAGAGATGGTTACTTCCAAAATTAAAGCCTCGGACCTGTGGAGAGGAGAGAGGGACTTGAAGCCAGACTGGAAAGGAAGATGGCAATGAAGACGCCTGCAAGGGTGGCACTAGTTTCTGGCTTGGTACAAAGAGAACTGTCCAGAGTGTAGATGCCATGAAAACACTATTATTTCCTCAAAGTGAAGGTTCAGGCATTCTTTGAAATGGTTTAATTCAGCCTTCACAGGTGGTTAAGAGCAGTGGAATTTGGACTGCATCTCTGCTATCTACTCTTTGGCTTCAGGCAAATAACTTAAGTTCCTTCTGCATCCGTTTTATTTGTACAATAAGTATGAGGACACATCTCTACCTCATAAGATTGTTGTGGAAACTAGGAAAGTTAATATATGCAAAGTGCCCAAACAGTGCTTGGCACATAACTGCTATATAACTGCTATCATTATGATGGATTCCATAATGAACTCAAGACTCTGTTTGGAGCCTCAAAACCGGTCTAGATACAATGGTTTGCTTGTGAGGGGTGCCTGGGTGGCTCAGTCAGTTAAGCGCTGGACTCTTGATTTTAGCCCAGGTCATTATCCCAGGGTGGTGAGATGGAGCCCTGCGTTGGGCTCTGCAATGACAGTGAGGCCTGCTAGGGATTCTCTCTCTTCCTTTCTTTCTGCCCCTTCCCTGCTCTCTCTCTCTCTCTCTCAACTTAAAAACAACAAATGTTTGCTTGTGAAGTTCTTATGCTTTTTTTAAAAAAGGATTTTAAAGTAATCTCTACAGCCAATGTGGGGCTCTAATGCACAATCCCAAGATCAAGAGTTGCATGCTCTTCCCATTGAGCCAGCTGGGCTTTATAATGCTTATTACATTTAAAGGTATAATTCAGACACTAATTACATATTCCTAATTTCATTTTAAGATGTTTTAATATTTGTTAAAAGTAGCCCAGCAGTGCTTCAAAGGACACTTCAAGAAAATCCAGAGAATGGGAGAAAATATTTGCAAATATGTATCTGATCAGATCTAGTAATCAGAATATATAAAGGACTCTCACAACTCAACAACAAAAAGACAATCCAATTTAAGGTGCCTGGATGGCTCAGTCAGTTGAGTGTCCAACTCTTGGTTTGGGCTCAGGTCATGATCTCACGGTTTGTGAGTTTGAGCCCCGCATAGGGCTCTGCACTGACAGCGCAGAGCCTGCTTGAGACTTTCTCTTTCCCATTCTCTCTGCCCCTCCCCGCCTCATTCTCTCTCTCAAAATAAATAAATTAAAAAAGACAACCCAATTTAAAAATGGGCAAAGAGGGGCGCCTGGGTGGCTTAGTCGGTTAAGCGTCCGACTTTCGCTTAGGTCATGATTTCGCGGTTCGTGGGTTCGAGCCCCGCGTCGGGCTCTGTGCTGACTGCCAGCTCAGAGCCTGGAGCCTGTTTCAGTCTGTGACTCCCTCTCTCTCTGACCCTCCCCTGCTCACGCTGTCTCTCTCTCTCTCCTAGAAATAAAAAACATTTTAAAAAATGGGCAAAGAATTTGAATAGACATTTTTCTAAAGAAGACATACAAATGGCCAACAAGCACATGAAAAGATGCTCAACATCATTAGTTATTAGGGAAACGAAAATCAGGGTCACAATGAGGTATCGTTTTAGACCTATTAGAATGGGTATAATAAAAAAGAGTAATAACAAGTGCTAGGGAGGATGTCAGAACTGGATTGCTCATATGCTGTTGATAGAGAATGTAAAATAGTGCTGCCCTGTGAAAAACATTCTGGCAATTCCTTGAAAGGTTAGAGAGAGTTACCATAGGACCCAGCAACTGCAATCCTAGGTATATGCCCAAGAGAAATTAAAGCATATGTCCACACAAAAATCTGTACATGATTGTTCATCATACTGCTATTCACAATAGCCAAAAGCCTATCAGCTGATAAACAATGTGGTAAATCTGTGATAGAATGAGTCAGCCATAAAAAGGAATGAGTACTGATGCATGCTATAACGTGGATGAACTCATAAAAACATGTTAAATGAAAGAAGCCAGACACATAGCACCACATATTGTATGATTCCATTTGTATAAAATGTCCAGAATAGGAAAATCCATTAAGACAGTAAGTGGATTAGTGGTTCCTAGGGATTTCAGGGTGGAACGATTGGGTATATTTGCTAATGGGTATGAGGTCTTTTTATGGAGAGATGAAAACAATCTGGAATTAGTGGTGACAGGTGCACAAACTCATGAATATACTAAAAATAAATGAATTGTATACCTTAGAAAGGTGAACTTTATGGTATGTGAATAATTTCTCAATAATAATGCCTGAAGAGAACTTATTTTTTTTTTAAGGTAGCTCAGAGGGGCACCTGGGTGACTTAGTCAGTTAAGCGTCTGACTTTGGCTTGGGTCATGATCTCACGGTTCTGGAGTTTGAGCCCTGCATCGGGGTCTGTACTGATAGCTCGGAGCTTGGAGCCTGCTTCAGATTCTGTGTCTCCCTCTCTCTCCAGCCCTCCCCTGATTGTGGTCTCAAAAATAAATGAACATTAAAAAATAAAAATAAATAAAAACGTAGCTCAGCAAGTGAGGGGCAGGAAAGAGAGCTGATTACTGTGTGCCAGTGCCCCAACAGAGAAAAGAACACCTCGATGAAGTATTAGGTGGTGAAATGGACTTTTCTGGAATAAGCTCCTTTGTTTTGTCAAGTCAGCTCAGACACAGCTGAAGAGGACATGGGCTAAAGTTATCCTTCAGCTGTAGTGCTCTGCCCTGCTGGGCGAGAGGAGTTTATGTCTCAGGAGTCAGAGACTCCCTCTGGACTTTAGTTCCCTCAACTGGGCAATGGAATGGGACTGGTGTCTATGAACTTGCACTTGACACTCCTGTTTCCTCACTTGTCTCCATCAGTACTTTTTGCTTAGAACACTTGTTTTATCCTCCTTGTTGACTTCTAAAGGTGGAAGGCTGTACACTGTGAAAACAAACTTTTCTATACATTCTCATTATTTCTTGTTTTGGGAACTATTTCAAGATCCTTAGTTTAAAAAAATTTTTTTAATGTTTATTTTTGAGAGAGAGGAAGACAGAGTACAAGCAGAGGAGGGACAGAGGAAGAGACAGAATCTGAAGCAGACTCCTGGCTGTCAGCACAGAACCCGATGTGGGGCTCAAACTGACGAACCGAACCGTGAGATCGTGACCTGAGCTAAAGTAGGACACTTAACCAGCTGAGCCACCCAGCTGCCCTTAGAGTTTTATAACTTTCTTGATGGGCTTCTTTTTACAAGCTTACAAAATATTAGTTTCAGTCTCCACTGATATTTACTCATGTTTTTGCCCCTCTCGTTCATTTCTTCTTAAAGAAGGCAGCTTGAGGTTCATTGCTTTTTGTTCTCTATGGTTCTCACGGAGGTCCCACTTCAGGAGGTTGGGAGGACTTCATTGTAGTTATTCTTAGATATTGTATGTATTCTCCTTTAGGAAAGTTAGCTTCATTTTCCCAAGGATCTATCCTTAGAATTTTCAGAGCAATCCTTTCCCAAGGCGCTGCAGCTCTTTGCGCAGGATCCCCTTGGACACACGCCTCAGCCTCCGAGAAAGGTCATCTTTACGCTTTGCATCCAGCACAGGGCCCCGCACAAAGAAACAAGCTTTGGAGTGTGAGCACCATGCTGCTTTCACACAACTTGCACTGAGTCAGTGGGGCAGGTGCTTTGCTGCTCCTCTCTTCTGTGGCCTTCCGGTATTGTGTGGCCATAACAAACACAGTATGCCTTGTCTTTTCTATTTCAGTGCTTAGCAAAGACTGGTTGAGGCTCCTCCTTTCCAAATATTGGCCATCCATTCGTATGTACAGCAAATCACAGTACTCCACTCTCTTCTTTCTTGCCTGGCTTCTATTATTCTGTCTCCAAGAGTCTTTATAAAATATGTTAACAGGGAAAATGAACACTTCTTGTAGAAATGCACTTGTTTTACTGACGACGGCTGTTTTGAATACTTTGTGTGACTAAAGCCTCCAAAGTGATATTTTAACAAATACCACACATGGCTAAGTCCAGTTGAGGGGAGGTATTAAGTCAGTTGTCAGGGTGGAGTTTGTGTCATCTAAGAGGCAGGCCCCTCCTTCATAAAGATGAATGTGCATTACCCCCTACGTTTTCCCTGCACAGACCTGTCACAGTATCTGTATACTTGTGTTACACTTATTTACTTGTGACTGAGACTCATCTGTGTATCTATATCACCAAGTGTAGTGTGGCTGCTCACTAAATGATAGTCACTATTATTGTTTTTTAAGATTTTAGAGTCATCTCTACACACAACCTAGAGATCAGGGCACGCTCCACTGACTGAGCCAGCCAGGCACACCATTTGCCCACATCTATCACTAACACTTACTTTTTACTTCCTGTTTTTAAGGTCTATTGTTGGGTCCATATATGTTTTAGGATTGTTGTGTTTCTTCATGAATTGACCCTTTTATTGTTGTTTTGAAGCTGAAGAAACCAGCTTTTTAACTCTAGGTGGTGGTGAAGGTAACAGCCTCAAACACCTGAGGGCTGCCGCGTGGACAAGGCATTCGCGGTACTACTGAGACCCCTGGAGAGAGGTCACAGGGAAGCAGATTTGGATTCTGTCCACGTAAAGAACCTTTTTACAGAGTCCAAACATCCAAACATGAGCGGATGTTTCAGACAGTAGTAAGCTTCCTGTCTCTGGATGTTATAAATAACGCTGGACAATAAACCAACTGATTGCCAGTGTTGCAGAAGGGATGCAAGCATCACACACAGGCAGACCTTTAAAGTTTCTTCACAATTTGACAGTACAGTATAGGATTCTGTAAGTCTAGTCCCCAAGAAGTGTGTAAAATTTGTTAGCACAGGGTGCTGTTAACATGGTGACAGCTACTACCCATGAAGTACCAGTCGCAGGCACTGTACCTGTTGTTCCTGATCCTACAACAGCTTGACGAGGGGGTTAAATCCTACATTTTCAATTGTACATAAAAGGAAAGTAGCTTGGAGAGGTTAAAGGTTTGTTCAAATCATACAGACCAAGACCCTCAAGCTCATACTCTTTCCACCCTCTGCTCCTAAGCATGGTTTCTGCTAAGCTGCCCATGTGTTTCAGTCTGAAAAGATCCTATACTTGTCTGCACAGCACCTCTGTACTTAAAGAGGATCTATCCAGGTAAATAATGGGTTGCAAGAGACAGGAAAATATTAAAACTTTCCCATGGCTTCGCAGTCCCCTCAAGGTAAAGTTTTTAACTTGGCTCCAAGGCCTTACACCTTTCCAGCTATAGCCATTTTTCCTGTTTCTCCCTCCAACCATACTAAATGAGCTTCTTAAACCTACCAAATTCCTTCCTGCCTCAGGACCTTTGCAAATGCTATCTCTTTTCTGGGAACTTGCTCCCTCAATATCTTCACCTCACTAATTCCTGCCTAACTGTAGGTCCCCCTCACCTACTCAATAACAGGCTACTGGCCTTAGGCACTCTCTCCTACAGTATCCTGTGCTGGAGGGCCAAGGGGGAGGGGCGTGTACAATTGATGATAACTGTGTTTTCCCTGCTTGAAAACTCAACCGCACAAGGAAAAAAAGGCAAATGGAGACTCATGATAAAGGGAGAGTAAAATAGGTCTGACAACTTCCTGCCCACCTCCCCCACTCCAGTCTAGGCTCTGTCTATCCCATTAGTTTATGAGCTCCAAAAGGGCACGGACCAGGAATGCTTTGTCAACCACTGTGTATGCTTCCAATGCCTTGCTCAGTCTCTGGTACGCAGTGCTCAATAAATATTTGTTGGTGAAAGAATGTTAAATGTTACATACAAGTCTCCCTCAAAAATGGGTAGATGAGGGCTAGTAAAGAGATGTGGAGTTAGGAGGGGATTGGTAGGAGTTGAGAGTTTTGGTACAACAAAAGCCCTGGAGCAAGTGGAGCTTAAGTGCCTAGGATTAAGACCTCAGGGGTCTCTCAACATTCATGAGGATCAGTGTGTATGATGCAAACCAGAATGATTTAAACTGATCCTGATTATAAATACTAGGTAACTAATAAAATGAGAACTGAAAATCTGCTTTGGCAGCAAACCAGTCCCACTAATTACAGTCATTCACAAGAACTTACTAATTAAGCTTAACTAGTACATAGCACAATTATGTCTATCATTAAAGATATGGCAAATGAATGTGGTAAAGTGTTATGTAAACTGTAAAGCACCTTACAAATATGGCTGCTATAATATGTCAGGCTGGCATTGCAGTGGGTTTTGATTACAACTATAAAGTCCACTTATTTTATATCTTTGTAGACTTGTTCAAGCATATGACCATATACTTGACTTTTAAAGCATTATTAAAAACCTTGTTCCTAGATGACTCTTGAAAAGTTCACTCAGTTCTGGCATGTTAATGAAAAATTAGTCTTACCTCTTGATCACTGTGTTTCTTAACCTTTATTACCCATAACCTGTGTTCTCTCTCTTCTGAATATCCCCTCCAACCAGTAAACTTTGTCATTTATATTACTTAAAAAAAAAAAAAAAAACATACACACAAAACAAAAACAGACTGAAATGCTTTCTTAAAAACACACCAGCAAGTCTGTTTGACCTTTCCCCTGTGTCCCACTTGCCATTACATGTACCTGTTGAGAGCACCCTGTACATAGCTACTTGTGGTTAGCTGCTTAGGGTTATTAAGTGAGCTAGATTTTGTGATTCAGTGGGATCAGCAGGAGCTAATACACAATCAATATTGTAGGAAAGGACCCTCTGATCCTTTACCATGGTTGCCTTCAACTTATGCTCATGAAGAAATCAACAAGAGCTTCAAATGGTGGTTTTCCATACAAAGATGAATTTGGTTTCTCAAATTTCACTTGGAAATGTATATTTCATCTCAAAGTACATAAAAATAACTACATCCAACTAATTTGCAGCATGAAAAATGTATTTATATGCTGGAAACAGAAGAAAACAAGAAGAGTGAAACTTGGCAGTCAGCTTGCTTACAGACGTGATGGTTCATCAGCAACTTCCTCATCTAAGGTGTGGGGGGTAATTTTTTACAATATACAAGAACAGTCCTTCCAGGTCATGAGACCATGTTATTGAAACTAAAATAGTTTAATCTTAAGAATTCAGAAAAATGCAAATGCTTACCTTTTAACAGAGGAGTTTCTCAGTTCCTCTATGAAACTCAAAATCACAGAATCAGGAGTCAAGTCCCAGGCTCTTCCCACTCCAAAATGATTGGGCTTTTCCCCTTCTTCTCTGGAGCTTTTGGAAGAGGCAGAGCTAGAACATCTTTATTCATAATCTCTTAACCACCACATCCCTCCACCAAGGATAGAGCAGTAATTATCAGTATCTTGTGGGGACAAGAACTTGAGCATCCATCTTGTGATAAAAAGCCACAAAGGGAAAGGTTACAAAAACAAAGGCAGCACTGAATCTTTGCAGCTCTATTGAGGACATTTTATTTTCTACTTAGAAGCATCTCCTTTGGGGGCACCTCAGTGGCTCAGTCAGTTAAGCATTCGACTACTGATTTCGGCTCAGGTCATGACCTCACGATTTGTGGGTTCTAGCCTCATATCAGGCTCTCCACTGACAGCACAGTGGGATGCTGTCTCTCTCTCTCTCTGCTGCTTCCCCACTCATGATCTCTCTCCCTCTCTCTCAAAAAATGGGTAAACATTAAAAAAAAAAAAAGCATTTCCTTTGAAGAATCTCATCTCCCCCCATTTCACATGAATTCAACTTAGTCTAGATTGTTTTGTAGGGCAGACCCTGCCTTTCACGGTGAGCATATTATAAGCAGGGCCTGGTGTGAGTACTCCATCTACCTGGCCATAGTAAGGGATGTTCAGGGATATGAATGTGGATGAAGTCACACTCATCTTCATCCCAGAGACTTTTTGGTGTTATTAGAAAAAATACACTTTTGGGGCATCTGGGTGGCTCAGTCGGTTAAGCGTCCAACTTTAGCTTAGGTCATGATCTCACAGTTCATGGGTTTGAGCCCCGCATTGGGCTCTGTGCTGACTGCCAGCTCAGAGCCTGGAGCCTGTTCCATATTCTGTCTCCCTTTCTCTCTGACCCTCCCCTGCTCACGCTGTCTCTCTCTCTCTCAGAAATAAATAAAACATTGAAAAGAAAAAAGAAAAAATACACTTTTCATCTTCTAGATGGAAACCTATAAGGACCATGACAGCTTGAGACTGTAGGGGCTATTTTGCCCCTGAGTGAAGAGAAAATGAGCAAAGCTCATTTCCTAAGCAAAGCTGAGGGAAAGGGGAAGAGAGGGTCCTAATGACATCTCTGATCTCCTGGATATAACTCTGCCCCAGTTTCCTGTTACCAAATAATAAATTATCCCCTATCCATTTTTTCTTAAGCTTGTTTGAGTTAGGTTTCTATTACAACCAAGAGTCCTAATTATTACAACATGCATTTTTATACAGGTAGAAGTGCTTCTTCTTATACTTAAAAATTATAGAGTGTGAGCAGGGGGAGAAGCAGAGAGAGGAATATACAGAATCTGAAACAGGCTCCAGGCACTTCAAGGTCAGCAAAGAGCCCGATGCCCGGCATGAACTCACGAACTGTGAGATCATGACCTGAGCCGAAGTAGGACGCTTAACAGACTGAGCCATCCAGGCACCCCTATATATATTTTCTTAATAAAAGATTTTTAGGAAAACTGTGTAAGAAAAGAGACTAGAAAATTATATATTAGAAAAATGGATCTTAGACGAGTTATCCAATCAATAAATGGGCAAAGGATTTGGATAGTTTTCCAAAGAAGATATACAAATGGCCAATAAGCACATGAAAGATGTGCTTGACATCATTAGTTATTAAAGAAATGCAAATCAAAACCATAAGGAGATACTCTTTTACATCAACTAGGATGGCTGTGGATGTAAGCCACAGAATCAAAGAACAGAAAATAACAAGTGTTGGGAAAGATGTGGAGAAAATACAAGCCTCCCATTTCCGGTGGGAATGCAAAGTGGTGCAGCTGCTATGGAAAGCAGTTCAACAGTTCCTCAAAAACACATATTGTGATGTCACAGAAAAAGCGCAGCAGAGAGCTACAAGAATTAGTCCTCCACAGAAGTTATCATGAAGCTGACAAAAACTGATAGAAGCAACTTTTTCAGAACTTGGGAATCTAATAAAACTTACAATGGAGTCCAGCCAGTGGGGTGCTTAATGAAAGAAGCAGCTATTAAATATCAGTAACAAAACATTGTGGCGTTTTTGTTTACCTGTCTACCATCCCCCATTCCCCAGTCTGGTGGTGGCTGTGGGAGGGCAGCCCACATTCTTGGTGTGGCTAGTTAGTGCCAGGGGAGGATATATGCACTCTCAAAAGATTGGGGCTGTCAATTCTGCCCTGTCTAGTGGTTCCCCAAGGGACCCATGCCGAATCTGACCTCTGTTTTGCTCACTCAGGCTGGAGCAGATTTCCAAGTAGCATCTGTTGAAAGTATTTAAAGACATATATACTACTGGTGGCTACCTAAAGCAAGAGACAGTGAATGGAACAAGCAGCAGATGGATTTAAAAGCCTGACAAGTAGGAGCCTGAGGAGGAAGCTACATGGGAAAATAAGGACTCTACAGCTTTATCATGTGATTGGGGAAATCCAGCATGCAAAGTGCAGGTTCAGAAAAGAACTGAGAGGACCCTAGACTTGCACCTTTGACTGATCTTTGGGATCCATGCAATCAGGAGGTAAAAGCTAAGGCAGAGTTTCAGGCAAACTGGTTTAACACTGAAGTAGTGCCCCAGCTCAGAGCCAAGCTATAAAAATCTGGAGACATAGTGGTGTTGTTTTCACTCCAGGCATTTAAAGAAATTTCTGTCAGGTCAGTGACTGACTACTGAGATAATGGGACAGTTTCAGTGGTCACACACCACAAGAAATACAGTCTTAGCAAAAATAGTTTGGATAAGTCAATAAACAAATGGATGACAACAGCCTTCAAGAATCAATAACAGCGGGGCGCCTGGGTGGCTCAGTCGGTTAAGTGTCCGACTTCGGCTCAGGTCATGATCTCATGGTTCGTGGGTTTGAGCCCTGCGTTGGGCTCTGTACTGGCAGCCAGCTCAGAGCCTGGAGGCTGTTTTGGATTCTGTGTCTCCCTCTCTCTCTGACCCTCCTCTGCTCACGCTGTCTCTCTCTCTTAGAAATAAAACATTAAAAAAAAATTTTAAAAATCAGTAACAGCAAATCCTGGGAGGGCGATCTGATTCCCAGGTTGACACTGTAATATTAAAAATGTTCAGTTTTAAAGAAAAAAAAATCACAAGGTATAAAAAGAATAAAGAAAGTATGGTTCATTCACAGAAAAAAAAAGTTTATAGAAGCCATCTTACCAAGGAAGCCCAGACTTTGGACTTAACTAGGCAAATATTTTGTATCAAAGGTCTTCAATATATTCAAAGAGCTAAACAAAACAATAGACAGGGCTCCTGGGTGGCTCAGTGGTTAAGCATCTGACTTCGGTTCAGGTCATGATCTTCCGGTTCATGAGTTCGAGTCCCACATTGGATGAGCTCAAGCCCTGCACTGGGTGAGCTTGAGCCCCACGTCAGGTGAACACAAGCCCCAATTCAGGTAAAATATGAGCCCCGCTTTCGGGTGAGCCTTGCTTCTTTCTCTCTCTTTCTCTCTATCCCCCTCTCTCTGCCCCTCCTGGGATTTTCTCTCTCTCTCTCTGCCCCCCCACTCACTTTCACCCCCTCCAAAAACAAACAAACAAACAAACAAAGAATACACCAAAAAAAGAAAATACTAAAGGAAACTAGGAGAATGAACAAATGAAGAATATCAACAAAGAGAAATTATTTAAATTTATATTATTATTTTAATATACATTTGTTATATTATATAAGAACCAAATGAAAATTCTAGAGCTAAAATGTATAGTAGCTGAAATGGAAAACTCACTACAGGGATTCAACAGCAGATTCAAGCTGGAAGAAGAAAAAAAATGAGTGAATTTAAATATGGACTATTGAAATTATTCTGAGAAGAAAAAGACTCTCAACCAATATTCTATATCCAACAAAACTATCCTTCAAAACAAAGAGGAAATTAAGACCTTGTCAGAGAAACAAAAGCTTAAGGAGTTCATCACTAGTAGGCCTGCCTTACATGAAATGCTAAAGAGAGTCCTTTAGGCTGAAATGAAAGGACACTAGACAATAACTGAAAACCACACAAAGAAAGAAATCCAGTAAAAGAAAACACATAGGTAAATATAAAACCAGTATTATTCTAGATGTGATTTTTACCTCCCCTTTAGTTTCTCATATGATTTAAATGGCAAATGTACAGGGATGTCTTGGTGGCTCAGTTGGTTAAGTGACCAACTCTTGGTTTAGGCTCAGGTCACGATTTCACTCCATACCGGGCTCTGCACTGACAGCTGTGGAGCCTGCTTGGGATTCTCTGTCTCCCTCTCTTTCTGCCCCTTCCCCCCTAATCTAAAATAAATAAACATTTAAAAAATTTTTAAATAGAAGGCAAATGCATAAACATTTGAACAACACTGAACTAAGTAGTCCTAAAAGACATACAAAATACTTCATCCAAAAACAAAATATACATTCTTTTCAAGTACACATAAAACATTCTCCAGAATAGATATATTAGCCCACAAAACAAAACTCAATACATTTAAAAAGACTGAAATCATACAAAGTATCTTCTCCAACCACAACAGAATGGAGCTAAAAGTCAATAACAGAAGGAAAACTGGAAAATTCACAAAACGTGGAAATTAAAACACACACTTAAGTAACTAATATGTCAAAGAAGAACTCACAAGAGAATTATTACTTTTAGATGAATGAAAATAAAAATACGACACATCAAAACTCATGGATGCAGTGAAAACAGTGCTAAGAGGGAAATTATAGCTGTGAATGTTTTTAAAAAGATCTTAAATCAATAACTTTATAGCTTGGAGAACCAGCCAAAAAAAAAAGAGACAACTAAAACTAAAAGACAGTAGGAAGAAAGAAATAATAAAGATTAGATCAGAGATAAATGATATAGGGAACAGAAAAACAATAGAGAAAATCAATGTAATCAAGAATTGGTATTTTGAAAAGACTGACAAAATTGGCTAAACTACCTAAATTTACTTAGAAAAAAGAGAGAAGATGCAAACAACTAAAATTAGAAATGAGGGGTGCCTGGCTGGCTCAATAGGTTAAGCATCTGACTCTTGATGTTGGCTCAGGTCATGATCTCATGGTTGTGAGATCAAGCCCCACATCAGGCTCCACG